ACAACACTAACCATAAGCAAGGGGCTTTGAAAGACGGTATCATAGTGCCTAAGGCACTTGACTGCTAACCAGAAGGCCTGCGGTTCAAACCCACCAGCCACTCTTCAGAAGGAAGATGGGGCAATCAACTTCAGTAGTGATACTTCCTCGGAAACCAAAGGAGGGGTCGCAATGAGTCGGGTCTGACTTGAAGGCACATAACAACAACAACAACAACCAACTCACTACCACTGAGTCGATTTCAACTCATAGCGACCCCCACTGAGTTTCCGAGGCTGGAAATCTTTATGGAAGTAGATTACCCCATCTTCCTTCCACAGACCAGCCAGTGGGTTTGAACAGCTGACCTTCTTCCGGTTAGCAGCCAAATGCCTTATCCGCTGTGCCACAAGAGGTCCTTACCAAGCATAAGCCTAGTAAGAATGGTGTTGTTTCTGATTATTGAACTGTTTACAAAGTAAAATAAAAATAAAATCATTAGGAAGAGATTTAAAGTAAATTAAATTATTACTATTCTTGAAAAGAAAAGGAGTAAAATTTAAACAAACAGCTTTCTAATACAATGTCAAATCAAGTAGCATTCATGCTTGCATGCTTCACTGTATTTCCTTAAGAAACTATGCAACTGAATTGTCTTTAGTCTTTAATTACTTGAAAAAGTTTTACATGCTATAGCCTAAAAGTAACTTTGGAAAAGGAATTATATAAAGGTTGAAAAACAAACCTTCCCATTATATTTAAGAAATATTCAAAATGAATGAAAAACATTTTTTAATTTATGAAATTCAATGAAATATTATTATGCCTTTTTGTTTAACTTGAAACATTTTACTGAATAAAATAAGCCAATCACAAAAGATCACATATTTTATTATGCCTTTTATATTATTGAATATTTAAGTCAATAAATCTAATATTTCTCTAAGTTTTTTTAAAAGGCCATAAATAATATTAAGAAGCAAATGACTGAGAAAGAAGTTTTATTTTATGACAAAGGGATGCAATAAATGAACTTCTCAAGCAAATCAATAATGGAACACCCAAGAGAAAAGGGGGACAAGGTGATTATGAGACAAATTGTAAAGCAGTATTAATGGGCAAAATACATGGAAGGAAGAAGATTTAACCTCACATGTAATCTAAGAATGAAAAATGTTTTTAATGGCATTTTTTTAAATTAGCAAAAACTAACAACAATAATCCTCAAGGTTGGCCAGAGTAGGGGAAAACCACTAGTGTAAATGGTGCAGTAGGGGAAAAGAGGCCCCAGATTCAAACAGGTTCAGTAGAGACACTTTCATAAGGCCTTGGACAGAACAAAGACCATCATCCTG